TTGTGTTTATTTTGGATAGATGTAGTGAATTCCATAAGCTTGTGTGCGTGATTATTTCATTTCTTTGGCATTTCTTTGCTTCTGTATGCTTTGCCTTGTGTTAATTATTATGAAACTCATTAAGCCCAAATTTTCTTAAACAATATCCAGACTGGTTACTTTGATCAACACGTAAATTACTTTCAAGAGTCCTTTGTTCAGTTTTGGCAATGTATTTCACACACAAAAAAGGAACAATTAAATAGATGAAAAAAACGAAATTTCCAGTCTAGAAGCTGCTTGGTTACGTTTAAATCAACATTCAAAGTCAAACGCCAGTTTCACTGCGGTCATACTGCCACAAGTAATCTCCAATCTCCTTCCCCGATCGCTCGAGCTTAAACCTCAGGCGGTGTTATCGGGAAAGGGTAATGGAACACCCACTCATTGTATCAGGAAAATCGACTGCCACTTGGATTTAGGCCTGCAGTAGTGGAGGTAGTTTAGTCGATGAACATATAGTGACACTGAGACTGAAACACTTGTTTGGTTTCATGTACCTTTTTGCCATGTACATTACCATGACTTAGGTAAACGGTGTTTTAGAGATGTTCTAAGTCAGATTCGCTTTCGTGGATCTCCTCACATTATATTTGGCTGACTTAAATGCAGGTGGCTATGAGAGGTCTTTTAAATTAGGAGGAACTAGTCATAGACACTGATTCCAAGCAGAAGGCTGAGCAGCGAGTATTTACTGCATCCTTACTTGACTGCCGAAGTCAGATGGTGAACCCATGGCTTGGTACCATTCACCTGGACCTAGTGAGAAATGTAGTTGTTCTTGTCTGGAAAGGGAGACGGGATTGCTGGGACTGAAGCAGTTATCGAAGCAGTTCACTGTTCTACTTACAAGGCAAGATATATTAATCTGGGGCGGGATACTCAAAACAGTTTACAATGTTGTATCTCGCATCGGAGCAGTTACAATGTTGTAACTCCTCCGAGGCCATACTCGAAACAAAAATAGCCGCCATGTTATGACGTCACACATTGTAAAGTACCTTGTAAGTTACAACTGCTCGGGAGCTCTTGTAAGGGTTTCAAACCGGATATATTACGGTTTATTTCCCGATTACTTAGTCGACAAAAACCTTTATTTGACTGTAACATGCCTTTTCCATGTTTAATACCGGGGAATTTCAATTGTCTAGCATACTCTCTGTTTTCTATGCATTATCGTTATTTTAAATCAAATATGAATTGACTGAAAATTGAGTTGACAGACGACACACGACACACAACAATGTTTTGGTGGCTGCTCATCCTCATGACCGAGCATTGCAGCGCGAAAGACATTATAATAGGGAACCAATAGTTTCACGCTATGGCAAGGATAAGCATTTATTGCGATATCACAGATTTCTTAGATTTGTTTTACTATAACCTTCTTTGATGCCTAATATCCAACTAGACAATCCTTGATTTGAAGTATAATGGCGCCCTACAATCCAGGAAAGGCAGATGTGCTAAGATTGTTACAATGAGTGGCATGCACTGTGCTGTAAAACTGGTGTAGCTAGGAAACTGTAATAGGTAAATATTGATTGATTAGGTAAATATTTTAGGTGGTTTGTAAGCAAGACATTTTTAGTGCTTTAATGCTTAATAAATTACAAATAGCAGTGTGTTTTGCCTTGTTTTATTTCAGTTCAACCTAAGTAAAACCATTCGCACCTGTTAAACCAATTGCAGATGGCATGGCGTACTGGACATACCATTTCCATTGCAATTTTAGTTATTGATTGCATATGTATAAATGTATATGTATAAATAGGAATATGTATATATGTGTATATATATAATAATATATAATATATATATATGTGTGTGTGTGTATATGTATGTGTTTATGCATGTACATATGCACACACACACATATGTATAAATATGTATATATATATATATATATATATTGAAGGCCACTAACAGTCGATGTTGACTATGGTTTTATTGTTACACACATGTATACATGCATTTGCAAAAACTGGGTTAGTTCAGTACGTGTATGGTAAAGGCTATAGGAGTTTACCCTATACAAAACAACTGCTGCCTTGTAGTTTAGTCCGTGTATAGTAAAAGGCTATGGGAGTTCACCCTATACAAGACAACCCACTGCCTCGTGGCATATATAACATGGGAAAGGCTTTGGGAGTCAACCCTGAAGAAAAACCTGGCGGCGGTTCCATGTAGCTTCCGACTTTGTTCTGGCAATTCCTGTGATGCTGATGGTGCTAGACTGCTATATAGGCAATAGCTCCTCTTTTGCCCAGGCTTTGACTTTATCTTCGTTGCCCCACTGGCGTAAAAACGTAGCGAGAAAGGCCATTCCCGATGGTGGGAGAGATCCCATGGCCTCATTAAACAAGCTGGGCAACCCCAGCCTATAAAGTGCTGCCTCGCCACAGTTTGCTCTCCTCTTAGGGTGGATGGGGATCAGGGATCAAACCCAAACTGCACACTGAAACACATGTACCAAACAAAAGGAACAATAATAATCCAATTCTTAAACTGGGTACCTGGAATGTCCATACAATGCTGACTGGATATTCAGACTAACTCCAAAACTAACTCCTGAGACCAAGGATGAGTTTTATGAGCACCTGTCAGCTATCATCAGCAGTATCCCAAGCAAGGAGCAGATTATTCTCCTAGGCGACTTCATTGTAAGAGTGAGCACTGACAGGGACACTGACAGGTCCTCATACCTTGGTCGCTTTGGTGTTGGAAAGATGAATGACAATGGCAAACAGCTGCTAGAGTTCTGCACCTTGTACCACCTATACATCACCAACACATTCTTCAACGTCGAGCCGCAACACAAGGTCTCCTAGAGACATCCCTGGTCCAAGCATTGTCATCAGCTTGATCTCCCCCCCAATCCCTTGCCCGTTGTTGTCGTGGGGGGGCTTAGGAGGCGGAGACTGGGACCCAATGATGGGGAACTCCCCAACCTTGGGACTCAGCCCTCGACTCAACTAATTATGCATGGTCTTTTTTTCCCTTCCCACTTTTGTTTCTGTCCCTTCACCAAACCCTTCTGCTATCCACCTCCTAAGGTGTGAGAGCCGTGCTGAAAGGATGAAAGGCTGACTTTGTGCCAGTCCTGAACGGCCTGAGGGAGCCATGGGCACGGTATTCCCCTGATTTAGTTATCTAGCCCTTACCCCTCAAGGGGACCCTGAGGGGTGGACTGCTTTTATCCCCAACATAATCCAGGCTTCCCATGGCCAGTAATGAAAATATATCACCACTGTTAGGGGCAATGAGGCTTGCCCCTTTATCAAATAGCCCCAACGAAGTAAACCCACCCGATTCCCCGACCCCAGGCTCTCCTTTGACCACGGCTCCAAACACTGCAATAACTACCCCTTCACCAATGCCTACTAGTACAGTAGCCAACAATCAACCCTCAAGGGACATTTCCACTCTCCCAGCATGCCCAACTTCAACACCTCTACCCCCACAACCTCCAACATCAACCACCCCATCCTCCCTTATTAATACCTTACAGCCTTATAGCCCACCTCTCCATAACACTACCTCCATCAACACTACTCCATCTTCGTCACGCCCTCGCCCTTCTACCACCCCTATCTCTAAAACAATCTTGAATACTCTCTTCAGTGCAGCCAAATGGGACCGATTTTTCGTGATCCCTCCCACAGCTCCCTACTCTAACAACACCCTTCTCTTCCAACAATGCCTCCAAAAACAAGTAGGTAAAGTCTCTTTCCGTAGCCGACCCGACCGCTCCCGTCTTGTAACAGTAACATCCGAAAACCAAGCCATAGCACTAACAAAACTAACTGACCTATATGGTAACCCCATCCTAGCAGAACCCCATCCAACCCTCAATACTTGCACCGGAACAGTCTCAATCTCCCCAGCAAATTGCCCAATCTATGACAAAGAATGGTCAGATTGTGGAGAAGATCTACTTGCCTGTCTCACAGACTACGATGCAACATCAGTACAATGCTATTCCATCCCCCCCAGAGGTCATCGAAAGAAACCCACTAACATAGCCAAAATTACCTTCCGTAGACATGACCTTCCCTTTAACGTCTACATAGGAGGAGAATCCCTCCCTGTTCGTCCATACCAACCTCCTCCACGTCAGTGCCAAAATTGTTGGCGTCTAGGACACCCAGCCAAACACTGCCGTTCCACAGCCAGATGCCCATTATGTGCCCAACCTGGCCATACCCGATCTAACTGCTCTGCACAATCACGCACATGTGCCAACTGTGGCGGCCCCCATAATGTATTTTATAGGGGCTGTCCCACCTACAAATTTGAATCTGAGGTAGCAACTCTCAGATTCAAACTCGGACTCACACTGCGTGAAGCCAGACAGGAAGCACGTCGACGTGGATTCTCTCTTACTCCTTACTCCAGTAATACCGCTCATCCTAACACTTCTCCTAAACCCACCCCTCCTACATCTAACCCCCC